TTGCATGGTGCCCCTGCTGCTGGGCTCAGGGCTTTGCTTTGCAAAGTGTGATGGCCACAGATGGAACACTAAGAAGCAGAGCAGCACGGTGTGAGCCCTTGCTCTCCCTTGTACTGCTTTCTGGAACCAAACCACAATGTTTCCTACGGGATGAAAGGCATGGAAAGATGCTGTCAAGGCTTTTACACCCTCAGGGTGATGAGAAAGCACTTTGCCTCCACTGAGAAACCATTTTTATTATGCTCTCCTTTCCAGGCAGTCCAAGCACATGCCTGTTTTTGAGCTGGCTACAGCAGTGTGTTGTGGATGTAGCCCTTTGGCCTATACCTGGCCAGTGCCTTTCTCCATTCCAGGTATGCGTCAGGTATGCAGGAGATGACCAGTGCCCTCAATGGAATTGATCTGACCTGTTTTTCTGGCCCCTGCCCTTTGCACACTACTCTTAGGCTCCAGCTGTGAATACTATAAATGGTTTTGTCATAGTGCTGGGAGGAGGAGGGGCTGGAGGAGGAATGGGAGCGGGGCTGCGACTGCACTGCATGGTCCTGAGAGAGCATGGAGGGATTTAAAGAGCAGGAAACACATGTGGCAATGTCTGGTCCTGCTTCAGCAGAACGCATTTTTAGCCCATCAGCTGCCTGGTTTCCGCTGCTGCTTCCCTGTAGCTGTGGAGTATTTTGGGGGACGTGACAGGGAGTGCAGGCATCCTGAAAATGTATCTGGGCAGGGGAAGGCAGCAGCACAAACCCCTTTGCTATGCCTGGGAGGGAGGTGAGCTCTGAGGGTCTTCATCTTTCTGTTTTGCTTTCTTTGGGAGGTGACTGATGTTGGAGCACGGGTTGAGCTGAAGTGCTGCAGGGTTGAGCAACAGAGTAACATTCCTAAGGACCCTTCAGCCTTGCCCAGAGCTGAGAAGTGACTGCACGTAGCTCAGCAGGCTCAAGGAGTGCAGCTGCACCCCTTGGCAGCACCAACTTTTGGGGAGCAGGAGAAGGCAGGTGTGAAGGAGGTGCTTCCCCACGTTACGTTGCCTTTTGGCTTCTCTCAGAACCCCCCCCCCCCCAGATGGAAGCATATCATTTTCTGCAAAACTGGAAACCTCGAGCCTCGTAGTTCTCTAATCACACCATGGCAGGTCAGAACAAAACCTCATGTGTGGATCCTGGGTCATTTTGAGAAAAGTCAGTTCTATAAACTGGTTTATAGGGTTTTTGGTAGAAAAGTCCCAGAAAGCTGTCAGGCTGATCCTAAAGGGAGGGCTGCCTATCCAGCTCCTCTGTTTGTGATGACAGAAGCTGGTGTCCCTGTGTCACATCATGTGCAAAATCACAGGAGAAGGAAAACCTTATCGCTTAGTGGCTACCACTGCTGTCCATAGGCGTGCTGACTCCTTGCAGGCATCTCAACTTGGGAATTTACAGAGCCTTGCAAAATACAGCTTGGCTTCTTGCAGCAGCACTGGAGAGGCAGGGTGGGGATCCAGGCTGGGGTTGGTCAGTTCCTTCTCCCTGGAACAGAGGAGATATGGAATTTGGATGGAATCACATTCCATTCCTTTAAAGGAAAGCCATCGTGCACCTGTGCTGCTCGTCATGCATCCTGTGTGCAGCGTTGGGACCGATGTCAGTGAGCGGAGCTGGCTGCAATACTTCCCAAAGCAAGGTGTGAGCAGTGCCTGAGCTGCGCCCGGAGTTGCTCAGCTCTGACTCACAGTCATGCTGTGAAACAGGTAGAGGAGCTGGGGCTCCCCGTGCTGCCAGCTGTGAGTCATGCCTGGCTTTTTCTTCTGTGTCAGAACTGAACCAGGTCTGTCTGATAGAGACGGTGACGTGCCGTGAGGTCACAGCGGATTCAGTTGGCTCCAGAAGGGACAGCTGACACCTGACAGGCAGGGGAAGTGAGGTGTGCCTGGAAAAGGAAGGAACTGGAGTAGGATCCGTTAAGCGTGTGTGATTCCGGCTGCAGTGAGCGTTGTCACACCTACAGTCATGGTGCTTTCCCACCTCGCTGCGTCAGTGCCGTTCCCAAAGGGCAGAAGATCCCTATTGCTTTCTCTTTCCGTTTTGTTCAAGCTTTGTTTCGGTTCTTTATTTGAAAATGCCCTCATCAGAACAGGTTTGAACAATCCCTTCCATTTAAGGACAACTCCAGAGCTCAAGAAGTGTCTGCTCAATGCTCTCAGATGTGGTCTGATTTGTAGGTGGTCCTGTGTGGAGCCAGGGGTTGGTCTGCATGATCCTTATGGGTCCCTTCCAACTCAGTCCTGTGATTCTACTAACACAGTCCTCTGAGCACCTATGAGTCCTAGACCCATAAAGCCTTTCATGCTACCCATGCTCAGAGCTGTGCAAGCCAGCATCCCAGGATTTGTGCTGTGGGTACTGGTGAGTCTGATGGCCTTTCTTCATCACACAGCAGTGTGGTGGGGTGCAGCATAGCTGAGTCAGCCCCCGAGCTGGGAATAAAGCAGCCATGATGCAATTGCTTATAATGAGCCCACGCACCCACACTGCTTTCCTAGCTGGAGTGCTGCAAGCATCTGCTTGGAGATGAGGGCTGCAGGCTTGCTTCTTCCCATGCCCACAACCCCAGCTTGAGCTCTTGGCTCATCCATAGGTCCTTTGGTTCTTCCTCAAAGCACAGCATGCCCACACTGTGCAGAGGGAGCTCAGCCTGCTTCACCCTGGTCAGCTTGAAGCAGAATTTGTTTAGGATGGGTTTCGTCTGGAGCATCTCCCTGGTCCTTTCCCTCCTCCTCCTCCATTACCTCACCCTTCATGCATCCCTATGAGATGCACTGGGCTCGCTCCTGCTCCCTCATTTTTTATTACTATTATTCTTCAATCTGCCTTGGCTTTCCTCCTCTTGCCGGCGAAGCACAAAGCTGCTCTTTCTCCTATTCATTCCTCCGGCCTCGGGTTAGCATTTCAATTGACAATCCTGCCATTGATTTGCGTGCTGATGGTTGGCTTTACATTAAATGCCAGCCGGAGAGATTTAACAGATTTAGCAGAGCTCTGGAAACTTGCCGGGTGGTTTTTCAAGCTCCAGGCTCACTTTGCATCATCCCCTGCTTTGGGGATGTGCTGTGGGCACCACACTTTGCCCCTTACCCTTTGGATGCCCTCAGTCTCATCATCCTCACTCTCAGAACAAACCCCAAACCACGCATGGGACAGCAGGGCTGCTCCCTCTCCCCCCCTCCATCCCTCCCTGTGAACCTGCTGGTTGCAAAGGAGATCAAACCCCAACAGTCTGAGGCAGAGCGTGGGCTGAATGCACCCAGCACCTGCTCATGGAAACCCCTTTCCAAAGCTCCCTTTTCCAGCCCAAATCAGTGCTCAAGCGTCTGGGCCGTGGCTCAGAGAGCTGTTTATTCCCAACTCGGTGATTCAGTGCAGCCCCTGGGGAGCAGTAGGATAAATAATGTGTTGGCGCCGACCAAATTATTGTTTTGGGCTCTTTTGTTTCCAGCTGGTTGAGGAGAAACAAGTCCTTGCTAGGAAGTAGGTTGGCACAGTGCTCGGGGCTGACCAGAGAGAAACTGTTGTGGGGAAAAAAAGATAAAAAAAAAAAAGCCCTGAAAGCAAAACCAAAGGTATCGTGATTGCGGAGACGTGTGTGTGCAGAGGGCAAAGCGGGGGAGAAGATTGGGGAACAGCAAGTGTTCTCGTGGCTTAGCAGCAGTAGAAAAGTGCAAAGCATGCTGAAGTACAGCCAGAGCAGCCTGCAGCCTGCTGGGGGTGGATGTAACTGGATGTGGAAGCCTTCCTGCTTGTGGGGTCCTGAGTGCTGGAGCCCCTCTGCCACCACCCCAGGTGTCAAAGAGGTGGGCTGGAGGGCAGTGTGCCTCCTGCTGGTCTCTGCAGGGCTGCGTCCCAGCCGACCCTACAGCTGGGAGCTGACCCCATTCCTCACCCCATGGAGGTGCGTGAGCAGCGTATGGGATCAGAGTGAAAAGCCTCAAATATTTGCCTCTGCAGAATCTTGGCAGGAGCCCCTGCGCCGTGTTCTTCAGGCAGGGAAAGCACTGCCTGAAGATTGTCCTCTGCCTGTCCTGCCAAGTGGCCTTATAAATAGAGAGGGACACGTGCCTCTGATTTATTGCCTGTCTGTGCAGGCTGCCAGCTCCTACGGCAGACACAATCTTTGTCTGCATGCTGGGAGCAGCAGCTCTTGGTAGGAGAGGCCCTTCTCTTTGGAAAAGAAGAAAGAGAGCTGGAAAGGGAGCATCCCATCACACTGTGCAGAGGTCAGACCTCATCTGCTGTTCCTCCCCGAGTTCACCTTCCTTTTGCATGACTGCTGCAGAGCACAGTGTGGGACAAGGGGTGGATTCCAGCAGCGTGGGCTCTGGCACAGCTGCTCCGAGCTGCCAGGTGTGGCTGCAGCATCCTGGGGTGGTGCAGGGCTGCTGAGAAGGAGCAGAGAGCACTGGGGAGGCTGTGCACACAGCTCTGCTCGCTGCCCTGCGCCGCTGCAGCCTCCCACACCTGAGCTGGCAGTGCAGAGGGAAGAAGGGGGTGAACTGGAAAGGCATGAAGGTGAAAGAGGAAGGAAAGAAAGGAAGGACAAGCAGTCCTTCCTCTCAGCTGGGCCCAGGAAGCTTCCCATTTGCTGTAACTGGTTGTGACACCACGGCCCCACGTCTTGCAGCTCACTTTTTGGTTGCCCTGGGGACGTGCAGCCCTGAGCATTGCAGCTTTACATGCTTCCCCCTCTGACATCTAGGCTTTGGCCTGGGGGCTGCCTTTGGCTTCTGATGGTGGCTCTGAACCCCATCCATCCCACCTCCTGTCCTTGGGGCCAGGACAAGAGCACAGCTATGAGCCTGGGAGCTGCCTTCCCTCCCTGCCTGGCACCATCCCATCCAACCCTGTGTCCTTGCTTTTCTCATCGCTCATGCCAAGGACGCAGAAGGGAGTCGATCAGCCTGAACTGGCTGCAGCTGCTCTGCAGTGGGCTGTGCTTTCCCTAATGAATGTCTTTGCTGTTCCTAGGTGAGAGGGAGTATACATTTCCCAGGAATGAGAAGTACCCGGTGTTCTATCACGAAACAAACAGCTCAAGCATCTACGTCGGGGGAGAGGGAATACTTTACTACTATAACTTTGCAACCTCTGAGACCTACCTGGTAAGGATGCTCTGCTCACCACTTTGAGCCCACGGCCACATTAGGAAGCATTCGGTGTCTGTCTCGCAGCCCAGGTGTGAGATACCTGACTCAGTACCTTTGCCACCAACAAAATCAGGACTGAGAATGTCCATTCTATGCCCACAGCTTCTGAATGGTTGGTACCTGCAGCAAAGGGAAGGGTTTTGCACTAACTGCAGGTGGGTTCTTCCCAAGCTGTGATCTTGTTGAGGTCTCTATTGCGCCAGGGCTAGGATTGCTCAGGTGGGGGACGTGTTCTGTAGCAAGGAAAGGGCAGCTTAGAGTCAGGTTACTGCGGAGGAGCTGTGTTCCCATCCCCTTCCATCATCACTGACTTGTTTCAAAAACAGCAAGCTCTGAATCAGCTGGGCACCGAGTTAAAACAACAGGAAAACCCTGGGGTGGTTAGCTTCCACATGACCCACGCTTGTCCTTCTCAAACAAGCCAGTCCCTATGTTTATTCCCAGAAACACCCCTTGTTCTCAAGGAACAGCAGGGTTCATGTGTCCCAGTCCTTGGACGTCCGCTGCTGAGCACTCACTCCTTGCAACAACAGACCTGCTCTCAAAATCCTTCAGGGAACAACCTAGGCTGTGCTCGTTGCTTCGGCCCTGCATCCCCACTTCTGCACATCACCCCCAAGGGCTGAGAGACCCAGTCCTGTTACCTCAGTGTCTCCCAAGGGCTTTCAGATGGGGAAGAGGGCTGAGCTGCTGCGTTTATGACCTTCCAACTGACGTGCTCTTTTGCTAAGAGAGCAACTGAGTATGTGGTACACAAAACTGGGTCCTTGTTAGCTGTCTTTGAGAGGGCAGTGATTAAAGCCTCTCTCTTTCTCTTTTACACCAGGTAGAGTTCCCTGTGGAAAATGGAGCACAGTGTTTGAAGCCTGGGAGCCCGGTAGGTCCTATTTCTGGAGGAACAGAATATGTGGGTTGGAGGACTCGGGCTGGAGGACTGCTCCTCTGGTTTTAACACCTATGGGAAAGCTGGGAAGCTGTATAGCAGAGTGCTGGTAGTGCTGTAGACGTGGAGCTACAGGGCTGTGGTCTGCCAATCGCAGCTGCTCACGATCCTCTCCTTTCTCTTGCAGGAGGACAATAAAAACTTCATCACCTTAATAGCAAAGCATGGAAGTGAGATGTTAGTGTGTGGGACTGGCGCTTGCAATCCCACCTGCTGGCACTTGGTAAGCTGGAGTTCCTCTGTTCTGCTTTGCCTGGTGTCTTTTCCAGTGGACAGACAGGCACTGTGGGGGGATGCTGCACAGATTGGGAGTGGGCCTAAAGCCAAAACAGAGCTCAGGGGTCCTTGGTGCCCACGTAACAGCTTGAATTACAGACTGAGGGGTGTGAAGGGAGCCTCTGTGCTCACCTGCCTGGGGGAGATGTGGGCATCTGCATCCCCTGCCCTGAACTGATTGCATTTCTCAGGGGCCATTTCTCTCCTTCCCCAGACAGAGAAGGAGAAGGACTCTCCTCAGGATGGCAGAGGTCTTGCTCCTTTCACTCCTGATACAAATTCCCTCGTCATCGTTGACTGTAAGTCTGGCTGCTCACATGTTTTGGGTTGCAGTGCCATGCAGGAAGCCTAGGTTCTCCAAGGGCTGTGCTTTTCTGCTCTGGCTGGTGATCTTGGTTTTGTCTCATGTTGATGCTTGTCCTTCTGGGACAGAGTATGGCAAGAGGTTGTTTGTTCTTGTCTTAGGGAGAGGGTTGAATCTCTGTGCAGGGCAAGGTAGGGTGCATGAGAATGGTGTCATTCTGCAGGATCTGCACTGCTGTGGACCTGGTAGAGGGGGAGATGAGGTTCCCTTCTAGAGTCAGAACAGAAATTATCCCTGCTGCTCTGTAGGAAAAAGGCTTGAGAGTGTTCCCTGGGAGTCCTGCCATGCCCATGCAATCCTAGGCAGGGAGGTCTGGGTTTTTTGACCTGTATCCACCATCTGTGAGTCCCCTTCACCTGACCATATGTCCAGATACTTCTTGGTTCTTGCTTTTGTGCTCACAAATCCTTTTGCCCCCCTCTTGAAACACCTCACTGTAAATGAGCCTTCCTCTCCCACAGATCCTAACATCTACTCTACCATCAAGAAAAGCCAGCAGAATGGCAAGATCCCCCGCTTCCGACGAGTGAAAGGGGATGGAGAACTCTACACAAGTGACACGGTGATGCAAAGTGAGTACAGGAGCATGGGACCAGTTGCTTTGCCCCAGCAAGCAGCTTCGTCTGGATCTGTCCCCCATGGTGTGGCAGGGAGGGACCCAGCAGCTCTCTGCAGCTCTCTTGCTGCCAGCTGGGGGGAATTTCACCTCCTCGCTTCTGCACCAAGACAACTGGCACGAGTTCCTCTTGCTCAGGGTGAGGAAGGAGAGGATGGGGAAATGGAGAGAAGTGGACAGCAAGTCCCATGTCAGATGCTTGTTGTGTAAAGGTGCCCATCAGCTGCCGAGTGGTGGTGGAAACAGGAAGAACAGCTTCCATTCTGGGCAGTGACTCTTTCCAAATCCCCAGCCTGGGTCATGACCCAGCAGCAAGAAGCTGTTGGGCTGCTAATGGGCTTCTCAATTTCTGCAACCTTACTGCGCTGTCTTCTCCTAAGCCTTTTTTTATCAAAGACAAGAATCCAAATGACACCAAGGCCAAGCAGGGCAGCAGGGAAAAAGCCTTGCAGACCCAGAGCAGTGGGGTTGATCCCATGATGACACAGAATTCCCTGCCACGGGGCCACCATCTAACGATGCCCAGAGGGACCATAGTGCTGCTGGGGATGCCCTTTGTGGCAGCAGTGTATTAATAGGAACAGCATTACTGGGTTTTCCACACTGAACACAAACAGTGAGGCAGCTTGCTCCACTGAGGGAGCCTTTCTGTACAAAGCCAAGGCTTCACTGAGCTCTGGGGGTTTGCCCCAAAGGAAACAAGTGCATGGAGGAGAGAGAGGAAAGGGAACACATGGGAACATGGTGCATGAAAAATAGTCTTTAGTGTGCTGTGACTGATCAGGTACAGAGAAAAGGCTTGGAACTGTCCTTTGCCCAGACCCACCAGTGGGCTTGTGTTTCTGAAGGGTGCTTGTTCAGGCCAAAGTTTTCTGACTGCTTGCTTCCCCTTCCAGACCCTCAGTTTGTCAAAGCCACCACGTTAAGGCATGAAGATCCTTACCAGGACAAGATTTACTACTTCTTCCGTGAAGACAATCCAGATAAGAGTCCTGAGGCACCCAGAAACATCTCCCGAGTGGCCCAGCTGTGTAAGGTACCATGGGAACAGAGTATGGTGGGGAGGCAACAGTGTCACTGAGGTGACAGATGGCCATACCGGCTAATCTGGTATTGTCAGCACACAAGTTGGTCCTTCTGGTTCCCTCTAGCCATGTCTTTTGGCCTTCCTGTCCTTGGGCTCCCATCTTGCTTGTAGGGACAAGCAACACTGCCCTGTCTTGCTGGGATGTTAGAGATAAACAAGCATTGCAGTGACTAGCAGCAAATATCTCTCCGGAGCATCCCCCAGTTATCCTCCTAAGATGCCATACGGAGGGGACTTTGTGTTGTTCTCTACCAAGCCCTGACTCCCTGCTTTCTTTCCCCTCCAGGAAGACAAAGGTGGAACCAGTTCCCTCTCTGCTTCCAAGTGGACCACCTTCCTGAAGGCCAGCTTGATTTGTGTCGACCCGGCCACCAAGGGCAACTTCAACTGGCTGCAGGATGTCTTCTTTGTCCCTGCAAGTGACTGGAGGGACTCCAAAGTCTACGGGCTCTTCACAAACACCTGGTAAGGGTCTTTGCAAAATGGGGGATGCCTGTCCCATAGGCCTTGTCCTTTCCTTCAGCCCTTTGTTCTCTCTGGCAGGAACATGGGTGGAAAACAGCCAGAATGGACATGGGCAGCAAAGGTGCGACACGCAGCTGTGCCCCAGCTGTGCCCCAGGCAAAGGCCACTGTATCCCTGACCCTCTCTTTGTCTTGTTTCCCACAGGGGAAGCTCTGCTGTTTGTGTCTATTCTTTTGGGGACATTGACAACGTGTTTCGGACATCCAAACTCAAAGGCTATAACGGTCCCAACCCGGAGATCAAGCCTGGGCAGGTGAGTAAACGATGAAAGACACCCACGTTAAGCAGAGAGACCTCCTAAGCTCCCTGCTCTGCTGCTGTCAGAGGAGCTGGGGCAGGTGAGGGTCCCAACCAGCCAGCTGAGAGCTGGGTGCTGTTCTCAGACTGGCTGTGGCCACCGTGGGAAGGATCTGAGCTTTGTTACTGGAAACATGAGGAGGCTGGTCAAGGTCCAACACTTTCATGAAAATTAAAGGGGAGTGAGGCTCTTATGTACTTGGCAAACAGGTCTGAGCTCTTATTTGAAGCTGGAGGACAAAGCCTCGCATTGTGTTTGCTAACACAGAATTTTTGTCAGCAGAAATCTCTAGCCTGACCCTACAGTTCATGGTGCTCAACTGACCTGGCAGCAAACAACTGCACAGGGAGAGGCTGTTTTAGGCCGGTGGGGGATGGCAGGCTCTGAATTTGCTAAACTGAAACTTATGCAGCAGGAGAAAGGCTGTTGGGTTGCCAGGTGTGCGGATAAGGTGTTGGCTGCGTGTTTTCCAACCTGCTCTCTGATCCTGTGCAGCTGCAGAGCAGCCTGCAGGCTCTTTGCCATGGCAGGAGGCCCTGGGCATTCTCCTCTAGGCTCAGCTGTGCCATGTCATTGATTTCCTGCCCTCAAGTGTCACCCCCACGTATCTGCCTTCCTCTGACGCAGTGCCTGTTGTTCCCTCCCGCTGCAGTGTGTTCCCTTTGGGCAGCACACCCCAAGTGAGACCTTCAAGATAGCTGACAGCCACCCAGAGGTAGAGAACCGAGTGGAGCCCCTCGCGCCCACCAGGAGCCCCTTATTTCACAACAAGCACCGCTACCAGAAGATTGGGGTGCATGAGGTCTCTGCAAGTGATGGACACCAATACACCGTGCTTTATCTGGCAACAGGTACCAGCAACCCTGGCACAGTGCTCTCTTTCCTGCCTTGCTGCCCAGGCTCACACCCTAGAGCTGTGCTCATCTGTTGTTTCTTTTTGCATTTGCGTTGTATTGGAGCTTGTTTACTGACACGAAAAAATACAGACAAGTCTTGGTGGCCTGGGTTGGAGGCAATGGATGCTCTTACTGTTCTTATCTTGCTAAAAGCTTTTGCTAAATGCAGCTAATGACTTCCAAATTCTGCAAGGCAGCTTGCTTCATGCTGCAGGGCTTGGCAAGGCTTCCCACCTGTGCTGTGGTGGGCATGGAGACACCTGGAGTGAGATGAGGGGTGATCCTGTTCCCTGCCTGATGCCTCGTGGGAGGTCCTGCCTCACCTCCCCTGGCTGCACTGAGTAAGGGAGCAGCTACTTGGGATAGGGAAACGGAGACAATTACATGAGAGTAACTGGTGAGACTGCTGATGCACATTCAGTCAGGATGAGAATTGCCACATCTCTGCCAAATTGCTCATTCTCTCTTGTGTTACCAATTTCTGAAGTCATTTAATGGAGGAGGGAGTCGGTTTGCTTAAAAAGCCAGAAAGGTGAAAGTCCACGTTCCAGCCCCAGGTACTGGGGAAAAGGCACTACAGAACAATGGCAAGTTGGAGAGCTGTTGGTTTTTATTGCAGCTGAACAAAGGGGGCTTGGCCAGGCCTCCAGGGGAAACCAGTTCCTCATAGCTCTTGGCTGGGAGGGTGACAAAGCTCTGCTCTGGGTAGCACTATTGTCTAAAGGGTGATTTCCTAAGACAATAATTCTGAGAAAGGTTCCAGGCTCCCCCTGGGTGGCTGGTTTCAGGGACACAGTCATATCTGGCTCTGCAGATTGGTATTGTGTGCTGCAACGAGGGCTGAGCTCCCAGAGCTGCTTCTCTGTCTGGTTTCCCCACTCCTGGCTCTAGCCCCTTTGCTTTGCCTTCATCAGGGCTCTCCTGTCTTGTTTTCCAGACAGGGGATCCATCCACAAGGTAGTAGAGCTGCCAGGGGGGGTGCATAACATCATGGAGCTCCAGGTCTTCTCAAAGAAGGACCCGATCCAGTCCATGATCCTGGACCACGAGAGGGTAGGTCCACAGAAAAGAAACCAGTGGCTGGGGCTGTGGTTATAAAAGCAAGCAGGAGGCAGGGATAGGCAGTTTCATACCAGCTCCTAAATATGGAAACAGCCTCTGGATGGGTTTGAGGGGAGGGTCCTCGCAGCTGGGCTGATGCTCGCAGTGCTGGATCACTGTGCAGAGCAGCGGGCAAAGAGATCTCTCCTGGAGGAGAGGGAAGAGCGAGGCTGTTTGCTGCCTGGGTCAAATCCCAGCACAGGGTTCTGCTTCCCCTGCAGATTCCCTCTCCTTTTCTGGCCTCGCTGGCAGATGAGCTGTCAGACAATGCTGGTGCTCCATCCCGGAGGTGAAAACATTGCTGGCACCGATGGAGCAAATTTATTTATACCTAAGGCTGGTGGGGGAAAATAAGAGAGCAAGCGACGTATGACTGCATTGCCTGGAGAGCTACCAGCCCTGCTGGTGGGATCCAACCCGGCACCACAGTGACTAAAGCTGTAGGAACATTCGGAGAAGCGCGAGACGTTCGCGGGGCGGCCCTGGGACGGGTGCTGGGAGGATCAGCCCCTCTGCTTCCCTCCCGCAGGCGATGCTGTACGTGGGCTCGAGCAGGAGAGTGGTGGAGGTGCCCATGGACATGTGTGGGGTGTACCGCAACAACTGCGAGAGCTGCCTGCTGGCCAGGGACCCCTACTGTGGGTGGGCCGACGGGCGCTGCCAGTCCATCTATCACAACCGGTACGTGGCACGGGCAGCTGGCTGCTATCTCCATCAAATTTGGCTGGTTGTGTTAGCTTGGGAAATGCCCACATCTTCGGTGCACCCTTTCCTGGCCGCTTGGTTTTGTGACCATCTTCCCATCAGAGGCAGATCTCACTGTGGCCAGGCAGTGCTCGATGCTGTTCTGCTGCCCTGTGCCTCTGCAGGGCTCTCCTGCAGCACCTCTGCTGTGGTAGAGGGAGAAATCAATGGGTTTCATACATCCTGAGCACCCAGATCCCCTTTTCCCCTTAGAAGCGTGCGTAGCTTCATCACAAATATGGTCCATTATGCTTGCCCTCAGTGAAAATCAAGGTCTACCAATCATGGTGCTGTTTAAAGTGGTTGATTATGGTGAGCTGCTGTGTCTCACATTTGTCACCCACCAACTCCTTAAGAGTATGGGGGGTGTTTTTCCCCACCCTGCTGGTAGTGGGTGTTTAAACGTTCTGATCCAGCACAATCTCTATGGGAATAAATTCCTTTCTTAGCTCCAGAGTGCTGCTGCCGTGTTGGTAGTGCCTTGCTAATGCTTGTTTCCACCTGGCAGGGAGGTGCGTCAGAACCTGAACCTGGAGCCGTGGCAAGGAAAGTGCCAGAAGGGTGAAGTTAAGGAAGGTACGTGAAGGGTTTGAAGCAGGGGGACTGATTCTCGAGTGTTAGCACAGGCTGGGAGAGCTGTTGCTACTCAGTTCTGGGGAACTCATTATGACTGTGCTGTGGCCGAGACACCACACGTATCGGCTCGGAGTCAACGGCGACGCAGTGTGTTTGCTGAGTAAATAAAGGCATGAGCTGAATGTTTGTCAGGCCTTTTGGTATGCAGTACCACGATCGATTCTCATGGCACGCTGCTGCTTCTATAACCACAGATGTCCCTTAGGTAGGGATGATCTGAGTGACCCAGCCCAGCCTGCGCTGCGCAAAGCCAACAGCCATTAGGAAATATCTTGCCTCCTACCCCCAGACACGCAGTCTGGCTGCTGTGCAAACATAACTCAACTCACCGATAGGCCTTCGTGCCAAGGAGCTGTCAGCACATCTGGAAACCTCTCCAGTGCTGTAAACAGTCTTACTTGGCCTCATTTCCCCTCTGTGCTAAACCTGGCGCTGTGGTAGGATGAGGTCTTCTGAGCTGACTGAGGGGGGTTCAAACTGTTTTGCTGGCCATCCAGGCAGGAGAAGTCCTATGGACATCACCAGGTGTGGTTCGTGCCCTGCCGTTGTCATTAAGTGCAATGTGTCCCCGTGCAATGTGTCCCCATCAACCCACCCGTTCTTCCCTGTGGGTCTGCAGGGCAGTGTGTGCCTCCTGGGGATTCCTGTCTCATGCCACCCTTCCCAACCTCTTCCAGCAGACAGCTACCAGAACGTCACCGTCGTCCCCGTCGTCCCTTTCTCTCGCTACTACCTCAACTGTCCCGTCGAGTCCCACTATGCCACCTACAACTGGTACCACAACGACACCCTCATCAAGACCTGCAACAACACCCACCCGCAGCCGGACTGCTTCTACTTCATCCAGAACGTGAGCCACACTCACTATGGCCACTACATCTGCGTCTCGGAGGAGGACGGCTTCAGGCAGGCTCTGGTGAAGGAGCACCTGGTGAACCAGCTCAGGTTCATGTCGCAGAAGGGTCAGGCCACCATGACTTTGGCATCCTGGCTGCAGCTGCTGCTCATGGTGCTGTTGGTGGAGCTCTTCCACTGAGCACGACGCGGCCGCCTTCCCAACTGCTGCCACTCTTCCTGCACTTAACGTGAGGCCAGATCCTTGCTCTCAGTCACTCCTTGGGCACTAACCTTTGACTGTCCCCATTGGTGTCCCGGCTCTGTGGGCATCTTCAGAGTCGATGTGAGGAAGAGGCAGCGACAGGGCCAGATGGAGCAGGGTTTGGGGCCAGGAGCATCCTGTCTCAAGGGGGACGTTCACTGTACCCGCAGGACTGCAGCCTGCCCCCAGGCACGCGCTGGTAGCTCCATACTGGTGGTCCTGAGCACGCACCAGGTGCAGACTTTGTTCAGGGGACTATGCAGATGTGCATGCACTGATCCTCAGGGCGCGACGGCTCCTCTCTTTGGGAACGTGCATGTGATGAAGAGGAGGAGCCAGCCCTTGGCCTTTCGAACTGGTTGGCCTGCGCTTCTCTCCAGGGTGTTAGTGGCTAACAACAAGCCCAAGCGGCGAGCAGCTGGGATCTTCCCAGTGTCACTCGTGGGTCCCGTTCTGCTCTGGAAGGGTTTTGTTGGTTGTTCAGAGGGCTGTGATGTGGGAGAGCGAGCGGGAGCTGGCACTGACAAACTGCAGGGAAGGGCAGGCTCAAAGTTAGCGTTTTGCATGGATAAGACTTGGAGGATGACTTAGCTATAGATTCGGGGTGTGGGGGAGGACAGACCAAAGGGCCCTAAGATTTCCTAGAGACTGGAAGGAGAGGTGGAAGCCCCCAGGAGGCCCTGGGGAGACGTTAAACGCACAAATCCGTGCAGGCAGCTAGGGGCATCGCTCTGCGGACAGCCCTGCTCCCAGTGCCCCTTTCCCCTTGGGGAGGGACTGGGCTTCCTCAGGGAAAGAGGAGCCAGGCTGTGGGGCTCAGGGCTTCTCAGCCACTTCCACCCCTGGGTGCTGCATGATGAGACAGGGGAGGGCCAGCACCCCCCCCCCCCGCCCTGGGCTCTGAGGCCTCCAAGCAAGATTAAACTGTGAAATGTGGGATATTGTCCCTGTGCCTATGCGCAGAGGGTGATCCCACACCTTGTCCGAGCCTTCCCCTGCCCTATGGACTGCTGGAACTCCCCCAGCCTGGTGGGCAGAGTGCTGGGCAGGCTGTGCCGCCAGCTGAGCCTTGTGGTCTTTGGGCAAAGCAGGGGGGGGTGTAGGCAGAGCAGAGCTTCCTACAGCACTACGTTCCCACACAACCCCCAGAGCCTAGCATAGAGCTTCTTACGTCTCTTCTCAAAGCACTTTAACTTTGTCAACTAACAAATAACCTATTTATTATCAACGAGCAATTGCTGTACTTGTCTAATTTTCTAGCGTGATAGAAATTCGGGCTCAGAGTAGAGAAAGGAGGGAAAGAAAACAGCTACCAAAAAACAAAACCCCTTTCCAAGCTGTGACCAAAGTGAGGTGGTGATCATTGAAATAAAGAGTGGACGAGAGCACGTGGGCACCATGCTTCTTACTGGGCACCAGGGCTGCTGGGCTCCCCGTCAAGGCTGCACGCCGTCCCCATCCCCAGCTCCTCATTTCCCATTGATCCTCTGTGCTCTGTTCTGGCCTTTCCCCCATCCCCATCACTCAAAACGTCGCCGTCTCAGACCCTTTGTGCCCCATCTTTAACAGCTTCGTGTGTCTTGAGCAGTCATGCTTGTAGACCAGAGCAGGATGTGGGCTGTGGGTTCTGGGCTCCCCACGTGGGCTGTGCTGGTAAAAATAAAGCTGCCAGGTGCCCGTGGGTGCTGCTGTGGCTGGAATCTGCCTGCCTTGACGTCAGGAGTGGCTTTTCCCAATGGAATGTCATCACAGGACGCTTTTGCTGGAGCTTCATAACGTTTGGGATCGTGGCTTCGTTGTAGAGCTTTGCTTTGAGGGCTTTTTCACCCCTGGGCTCCTTCCTGCAGGTAGGGGTGGGAAATATTTGGGAGTTACCATTGCTCGGGCGACAGCTCGCTGTGGAAGCCCTATTTCTTCATTTTCTCTCACTCTGGGGCTTGGCAGCAGACGTCCCGGCAGCACCATATGTGACGGCAGCACCCTGATGCAGGGAAGGAGAAGCGAGCCTGAGCTAAAAGGAGAAGTGTGAAGGCAGAAAGGAGGAGGGGGACGGCCAAGAGAAACGGGAATGCGGAGCTGCAGTGCCGCCCTTGAAGTTTCATGAGCCCTTCCGCGTGCTCACGGAGCAAAAGGGGCAGAAGAGGGGGGAAAAAACAACGCTAAATTTCCTAAAAATGGAAAAAAAAGCGTTGGGTTTTTTCCTTCCTAGCTGTGCTTCCCCCCCCCCCCCCAACCACTCTGTGTTCTACGAGCAGAAAGCTTGCTGAGAAAGCGCTTGGGGAGAGCGGCCCTGGGGGCTGCGCAGGGAAAATGTGGTGATGGAAAGAGTGAAACCCAGCGCTCAGCACCTCACCCTGAGGGCAGCACATTGTTCCCCCTGGGTTATTTTCGGGGTGGTTTATTTGAACGGGGGTGTGTTTGCAGGAAGGCTGGGGGCTGCGAGTGCTACTGGCTTCCTGCTGTGCTACCAAAGGGCACAGATGTAATGAGAAATGCTGCCGGTCCGGGACAAAAGCTATGTGGGTTTTTGTTGCAGCTTTTTGTAGGGCTGCAGGATGGAGCTGGCGCCTGCTGCAGGCATTGTCTGTGCTGTGACCTTGGGTGCAGCCTTGGCTGCTCTGCACGCAGGGCTTGCTGCACACAATAGGCCCAGGAAATCCTGCAAAGGTGAGGTTCCGTGAGAAACCCTGCAACCCTGGGCTCTGACTGCACGCCCTGTGTGTGACATGCACAGAACCTGAGGGGTGGTCTGCGTGCCTTTGGGTCTCTGGCATGCCACCTGCACCCACAGCATCCCTGTGGGTGCCCTCCTCTCCAACAGCATTCCACTGGGTACCAGTAATACCACCAGAGCATCCCTTTGGGTTCAGGGTTGCCAACCTACACCCTAGCATCCCTTTGGGTACCAGCTGCAGCCACAGCATCCCTTTGGGTACCAGATGCTCTCTGTACCCACAGCATCCCTTTGGGCACCATTCTCACCAACAGCATCCCATGGGGTACCAGGGATACCACCTGCACCTACGTCATGCCCTTGTGTGCCAGGGATGCCACCTGCTCCCACAGCATCCCTTTGGGTACCGTCTTCACCAACAGCATCTGTTTGTGTACCACCTGTACCTACAGCATCCTTTGGGGTACCAGGGATGCCACCCACACCCTTGGAATCCCCTTGGGTACCACCTGCACCCAGAGCATCCCTTTGGGCAATACCTGTACCTACAGCATTTCTTTGGGTACCTGATGCTCCCTGCATCCTCAGCATCCTTTTGGGTACCGCCTGCACCCACAGCATCCCTTTGGGCAACACCTGTACCTACAGCATCCCCTTGGGTACCACCTGCACCCACATCATCCCTATGGGTACCAGTTGCTCTCTGTACTCACAACATTGTTTTGGATACCATGGCTGCCACCTGCAGCCCCAGCATCCCTTTGGGATGTTGTACCCACAGCATCTCTTTGAGTACCATCTTCACCAACAGCACCCCTCTGGGTAGCAGAGAAACCACTTGTGCCTACAAGAAGCAAAAAGTCCATCAGAAAATGCTGTTCCCCCTAACTTCAGGTCGGAGTATAAGTTGTAGCTTTGGTGTAGGGCAGCAGTTTGACCTCTCCTGTGATAAATCACTGCGCTCCCAGCACCGGATGCTCCAGATCCCTGGGAGACGATGGGGGTTTTCCACACATCTGGCTTCTGTGGGCTGTGTGGAGGCGAGGCTTTCAGCCCCAGATTGGGTATTTCCAAGCATCTCCCACTGTGTACAGTGTGATTTTGGGGGGGGGGGGGGAAGTGCGATGGGGTGGTCCTTAGTCATCCTGCTCATAGGGGTGCAGAATGAAGAAAGCCCCATGGGTGGAAAGTGACAGTGAAATGCCCACGTTGGGATGGAAGCATCCTACATAAGTGTCATGGCGAAGAGCCCCTTTGGCATGGGGGGGTCCCACTTGTCACCATCAATACCACGGGAAAACACGGTCACAGCCCTGCCTCCCCTTAGGGGAAGCCCCATTTCCAGCCCCCTCTTTTTCACAAAGACCCCAAACCACTGCGTTTCCCGCACCCAAGCGCCATATGCAATAGGAACCGATGGTCCAAACGTCCCCAAAGGGGCATTTTTAGGAGGGTGCGCTTGGAGGACCCGACGACGCATGTCGGGGAGGGGACAGGTGGCGCTGCTGGTGGCAGTGAATGGGCCAGGCGCGCCCCCCGGTGCCCAGCGCTGGGCTCAGCGGTTTTGCTCCTGAAGTGGAAGGAATAGGGGCTGAATAAAACTAAATACTAAAAAAAATCCGCCGAGTTCCCACTTCGGGAACTCAGCAAATCCCCGCTGGGTGGCTGCTCCCAGCCCTCCGTCAACCCAGGAGCCACTCAGGGTCACCTCTGCAGGCTGTGCCCTCTGAAGCTGAGCTGTGGGGAGGGGGAGGGGGGGGAAGCCAGCAGCACTGCAAGCACTTTTATAATCTGTTTTGCAGGGAAAGCAAAACATTTTGAAGGCAGGGAAACTTGTTTTTATGTTGGAATGGCTTTTATTGGGGTTGCACGGCCAGCATCAGCATCAACGCGGGGCAGGAGCAAGCTCCCCCAAGCGCTGTCCCCCAAAGCAAGGCCACCCCCTGCCCCACATCCCAACCCTTTTTGGGGCATTTCGCCAGCACTCAGCCCCGTGACGTGCTGGAGGCGGGCAACAGCTCCTTGCCTTGAGCCCAGGATTCAGGGATAAGAGCGAGGTCACCCCGGCCGTGTGCTTGCCCCGCTCCCATGCTCTCCAGGGCTGCACCCATAGCGGGCAGCTTTCAGGCATGCCGCTGTGCTGGAGGGATCCCAGCCCTCGCGGGGGTCCACTGCCCATTGCCCGGCCCCTCAGGAGCTCGGCCCTTCGATCAGGTGCCAGGTGAATGGCGAACGGGTTGGCTTAACCTGTACCACTTCTGGAAGGAGGGCGGCTTCCACAACGTGCACAACATCATGGCCAGCAAGTTCCAGCGCTTCGGGCCCATCTACAGGTGAGGGTGCTGAGGGGGAAGGGAGCTAAGGGATGCTGAGCTGCCTTGGTGCCACGGGGATGGGCAGGACGTGGGTCCCCTCTGAGCTCACCGTGGGGTTGTGACGGGGAGCAAAGTGGGGATTTGGGGAGGAGAAAGGTGGGATATGTGTATTTGCTCTGCTTTAGGCTGAAATCCTATTATCTTTCGAACTCCTAATGGTGGTAGGGAGAAGTTGGGTGTCTACGAGAGCGTGAATATCATCAGCCCCCGCGACGCAGCCACGCTCTTCAAGTCAGAGGGGATGCTGCCCGAGCGCTTCAGCGTGCCCCCATGGGTGGCGTACCGTGACTACCGCAACAAGCCCTACGGCGTGCTCCTCAAGTGAGTGGAACCCAAAAATCATCCCCCCAACAGCAACCCCGACAACGAGAACACCGCCTCCATCGCCCCTAGCGGGAAGCACCAAAGCAAGACCCCAATGCTCCACTAAGCCCAGTGTGAACCCCAAAAATGAGACCCTAGGGCTCCTTCTCCACCCACATCATCCCCAGTGGGAACCTCAAAGATGAGATCTCAGGATTCCAATGGGAACCCCCAAAAACAAGACCCCGTGGCCCAAAACCCCACGCGCTGGGGGCGGTGGGAAGCCGCAGGGTGGTGGGATGGGGATGGCGACCTCGGGGACACTTCTGACCCTTGCCTGTGTTCCGCAGGACAGGGGAGGCCTGGCGCTCGGACCGCCTGACCCTGAACAAGGAGGTTCTGTCACCGCAGGTGGTGGACAGCTTCGTGCCCCTGCTGAACCAGGTGAGCGAGGACTTTGTGCAGCGGGCACGGGCGCAGGCGCAGAAGAGCGGCCGGGAGCGCTGGACGGCCGACTTCAGCCACGAGCTCTTCCGCTTCGCCTTGGAGTGTGAGTTTGCCCCCCAGAAACCCCCAAAGTGCACCAGGGATGGGTGGTGTGCTGCCATCCCTAGGGATGCTTCTCCCCCAAAGGTTTGAGGTCTTCAGGGATGTACTGTCCGCAAACAAGTAGGGAACAACTCGACATCTAATGATAGCTCAGCGTTTTATGGCCAACCCTACTCAACCACGATGCCAAAATCCTCCAGGAAGCCTGGAGTTGGCCGTAGTGGAGGGCCTGCAGTCCTATAGTCTGGGTCTCCTGATGGGTGCCATGTTGCAGCTGTGTGCCACGTGCTGTACGGGGAGCGCCTGGGGCTGCTGCAGGACTTTGTGGACCCGGAGGCACAGCAGTTCATCAATGCTGTCACCCTCATGTTCCACACCACCTCGCCCATGCTCTACGTGCCGCCTGCCCTGCTCCGCCACCTCAATGCCAAGACGTGGCGTGACCACGTGCACGCTTGGGATGCCATCTTCACACAGGGTGAGTGCTCTTCCTCCATGCTCCTCATGGGCTGTCCAGGGGGAATGGGAGTCCTAAGCGCTCATCTTCATCTCACCGGCACAGAAAACTTCTCCCACATCCAGCTGCCCATCTTGGGGTCAGGGGGGCCACTGCAGGGCCACTAAAGCTAGGAAGCCTATCAGGAGCTTGTAGGGTGGAGTGGTGGGGAACCATGCAGGAGCATGAGCCGTAGTGAGCATCGCATCAAGAGGAGCAGCACGGTCAGGGAGGTGGTGGCACTTGGGACAACAACCAGCCTCTGGGAGGGACAACAACCAGCCTCCAGGGGGCAGAGATGGGGGACAGCTGGTTTTGGAGACAGCTGCGTCCCACCTCACCCAGCCCACTCTAAAGAATGAGCAGCTCTACCGGAAAAAGCCACCAATATGTGGCAGTAACGTGCAAAGGTTGCCATGCAATCGTCACCCTCATGGTGGCACTAAGACTTGGCAGATCAGATTAACGATGGGACTTGGCGGTCTTAAAGATCTTTTCCAGTCTGTATGGAAAGCCCTTTCCAAGGCAGATGATTCTATGACTCTGTGACGCCACGGAACCACCCCAGCAGCCTTGGGTAGCATGCAGGCACTCAGCCCATGCTCCTATATTTCCTCAGCTGACAAATGCATCCAAAATGTTTATCGGGACATCCGGCTGCAACGCAAGAGCACCGAGGAGCACACAGGCATCCTCTTCAGCCTCCTCGTGCAGGACAAGCTGCCCCTGGATGACATCAAGGCCAGCGTCACCGAGATGATGGCGGGCGGCGTGGACACGGTCAGCACCGGGCAGGGTTTTGGCGGTGGGAATGGGACAGTGCACGGTGCTGAGTGCAGCTCTGCCCTGCTGCAGACTTCCATGACTCTGCAATGGGCCATGCTGGAGCTGGCACGGTCCCCAGGCATCCAGGAGCGGCTGCGGGAGGAGGTGCTGACAGCCAAGCGGGAGGCACAGGGGGACAGGGTGAAGATGCTGAAGAGCATCCGACTGCTCAAAGCCACCATCAAGGAGACGCTCAGGTAGACAGAAGGCAGCGGGGAATAGGAGAGCACACAGCTCCTTCTTCTCCCCTATTTTCTGTGCCAGCACGGGAAGCTGGTGGGATGGACATCCCATATGACAGATGGATGCAGATGTCCCACAACCGGGTGACCCCATCCAACCCACAGGCTGCACCCGGTGGCGGTGACGCTGCAGAGGTACACCACACAGGAGGTCATCCTGCAGGACTACCGCATCCCCCCCAAGGTGAACCCTGGGCTATGGGGTGGGAGGGGAAACCAGGTCCTTCCTCATCCCCTTCTGCTTTGTTCTGGGCCAGATGTGGGGCACTAATGTGTGGCAGTGGGGAGGATGTGGGTGCAAACCCCTAGGCTCGATCCTTCTCCCCCAGACGCTGGTGCAGGTTGGTCTCTACGCCATGGGACGAGACCCTGAAGTCTTCCCCAAGCCGGAGCAGTTCAACCCTGAGCGCTGGCTGGTGATGGGCTCCAAGCACTTCAAGGGGCTGAGCTTTGGATTTGGGCCACGGCAATGTCTGGGTCGCCGCATCGCCGAGCTGGAGATGCAGCTCTTCCTCATGCATGTGAGCACTGGGTTTTGGGGTGGGATGGGTCACGGAGTCAGCTGGGTTAGAAAAGACTTTCCATCTGGGTTGGAGAAGACTTCCAGGATCACTAAGATTCCCCAAGATCACAAACCCAGCCACTAACTTGACTTACCCGTCACTAAATCACATCCCTAATTGCCACAAGCATCTCTCTTAGTGCCGTGCCTTGTCTCTTAAATTCCACATTTGTGCCCCTAAATGCCATATCTGTGTGTGTCATTGCCACATCCATGCCCTTCGTGCTGGAAGGGACTTGGGGAGGATCCATCCCCACCGTCCCCCACTTGCTCTTCCTTCCTCCCAACCCAGATCCTGGAGAACTTCAAGATTGAAACCAAGCGGGCGGTGGAAGTTGGGACCAAGTTCGACCTCATCCTCGTCCCTGACAAACCCATCTACCTGACACTACGGCCCCTCCAGCGCCAGGAGTGACAAGGGGTGTCTCCAGTTGGTCACCTCCATCAGCTCAGTGCATTCAGCCTTGGCTCCAGCCCTGCTTACGCCGTGGGGCAGATGGCTGTCCCCTTCCCATTTTGCTTCGCCACTGATTTGCTCTGTATTTTCTGCACCAAAAGCAGCAGATCCTTGTGAGCATGAATTTCTGGGTGTCTCTGGGTGTCTCCGGCATCCTGCCCTAGGGAGGCCCCCTAGGGCAGCGGGTCCAGGGTCCGGGGTCTCCTGGGGGGTAAGGTGGGTTCCGGGGGCCATTTCTGGTGGGAGATATGAACACTTCTCAGAGGTCTACAGACCCACTCTGGGGTTCACTTTCCCCATGTCTTCTGGGAAATTTGAGGCAACCCCCCCAAAATGTGAGGTGGGGCTCCTCCCAACAGCTGCCAGCCCCACTGCAGGGTATTCCCATCCCTCCAGGATGCTCACCATGGCGGTGGCATGCAGAAGGCGTGAGGCTGAGCCCCCAAAGCCGTGGTCCTGCTCCAGCAGCCTGGTGCCCAGCTCCTGCTTTTCCCGTGCCCATCTTCTCGCTGCCTCCTCCAGCTGTGAGGGACCAATATTAGGCTGCTCTGGGGGGGTAACCCTGAGCCTCCCCAGATCTGGGGGTGCTGGTGATGCCCACCTGCCTCTCCATTGCTCGCCCACGGGCTTGTGCCTCCTCTAGCTTGGCCAACAGGGACAGCTTCTCCGTGCCACCAAAGGTGCCCTGTGGGAGCTGTGGGGTGCTGGGGGGTGCTGGGGGGCGTGGGGGCCTTGCCAGCTCCTCCCGTAGCCGTCGGTTCTCAGCCAGCAGCAGGGCGTGCAGCTCCCCAGCTGGGGCTTCACCTGCAGGATGGAAATTTGGAGTCACAGGGGATCGTGTGGTCCTCCATGGGACAGGGAGGCACAGGCTCTGGTCCCTGTGGGGTGAAAGCCCCAGAAGGGACAAATGCCCACCTGCGGGCTTCTCAGCACTCTTGGAGAGCTTCTCCTGCAACATCCGCTCCATCACTCTGATCACCTGCAGGAGGGAACAGGCACGCCCCCGTGTCTCCAAGGGGGGAGGGGACTGCTTGTGGTGGTGGTGGCACTCACAGAAAGGTGGGAAGGGACTATGGGACCCATTGGCTCCCGCTGCTGGGTGCACACACCTGCATCCCCAGCCCACCACGACTCACCTTCTCCTGCTGCCTCACCATCTCCTCCAGGCCCTTTGTCCTGGCCACCTCCTCCCGGCACCGCCGCAGAGCAGCTTGCTGCTGTCTGTGGGCTTGCTGGAGCAGCACCAGCTCCTTCTCCTGATCGTTCTTCTGCAGGAAGGAAAGGGAAAAACCCCAGGCACAGCATGGCAGAGGGCTAGATAGCCTCGTGGGGGATTCCCAGAGGACCTGCTGTATGGCTCCAGGCTTCCACCTCATTCCCTCCCCATCCCCATCCCAGTACCCGGATCAGCTCATTCTGCAGCCGCTGCACACGATCCTTCAGCTGCCGCATCTCCGCTGTGCTGGACACCAGTTCTCCCTTCAGGGTGGCTGCAAGAACCCACACCACACTCTCAGCACATGGAGGACAGCACAGACCCCTCCACTGTGCCAAGGAGAGAATTCTCCCACCGTCTACCCTTCCCCACCACGCACCCAACCGGTCCAGGATCTCTTCCCGGGTCATGACATCCACGTCCCCATCAGCGAGCAGAGCACGGCCCGGCTCCTGACGCCCAGCCAGGCTGTGCCGTAGATGTCCATTCTCCACCTCCAGGCTGGTGACACGCTGGTGCAGGGACACAAGGTCACCCGCCATGCGTCTCAGCGCCAGGCGGTACCTGCTCACCTCCTGCTGGCACGGAGCACACAGTTGGTACCCTGCCACAGTACGGGCTATGAAACAATCCATCCATCCATCCATCCATCCATCCATCCATCCATCCATCCATCCTTCTGTGCTCCAACCACTCATCCATCCTTTTCTTTTGTTCTCTGGTCATCCATCATCTTCTCCATCCACCTGTCCACTCATCCATCCTTCTCTCCAACTGTCTACCTTTTCCTCCATCCATCCACCCATCCTTGCCTTTTCCACTCATCCATCCTCCTCTTCTCCATCTGTCCTCCATCCCTTCTTCATCCATCTACTCATCCATCAACCTACTGCTTCCCTTCCCTTCCCTTCCCTTCCCTTCCCTTCCCTTCCCTTCCCTTCCCTTCCCTTCCCTTCCCTTCCCTTCCCTTCCCTTCCCTTCCCTTCCCTTCCCTTCCCTTCCCTTCCCTTCCCTTCCCTTCCCTTCCCTTCCCTTCCCTTCCCTTCCCTTCCCTTCCCTTCCCTTCCCTTCCCTTCCCTTCCCTTCCCTTCCCTTCCCTTCCCTTCCTTTCCCTTCCCTTCCCTTCCCTTCCCCTCCCCATCCACGCACTCTCTCTTTCCTTCCTTATCCATTCTTCTCCATCCATTCACCCTTTTCCTCTCCCTCTATCCACCCTTCTCTCCCCATCCTTCACTTCCCCTGCTATCCATCCTGCACCCCTAAGCCTCCTCCTCTCCACCCACCACCTCTCCCTGTACCCCTCAATCCCAGCAAGTCCTGCAGCCTCTCCCTCATTTCTCTTTCTCTTCTTGTCACCCTATGAGGGAAAGTCAACTCTCCTGCTCCTAAGGGCTGCAGAAGTGCTATAGCTGGGCGTAATCCCAAGCTTCCCATTCCCTGTCTGTCAGCCTCTGGGCAGGGGGACATTCCATCATCTATGAGGGAAGAACTATCACCGGGGTATGTTTTAATGGACAGACAGTGCAATATTTCCCCAGAGAAGCAGGCGCTGGAGAGACAGATCCAGAGCAGGGATTTTCCCTTCCTGTTCCCCCTGCCTGGCCTCTTCCCGTGGCCACATAGGAGGACGAGGATGAGGATCATGCAGCGGTGGCCATGGGAGCAAGGGCAGCACATGGCCCTATTTTTTTCAGGGGGGGGGAACCTGCCCAAGGTCGGGTTGGTTTGGGTGGACAAACAACCAGGCACAGCTCTAGGAGGATAGCACGAAGCTGCTGCATTTGCATGAACATCCCAACCCTCAGCCTGCTGAAATAAACCCCCTGAAATCAAGGGATAGCTCTTGGGTAGGGGTGGACACCAAGTTCGTTTTTAAGGGGGGGGGGAGAACCTCTTTGTCCTATGGCACCAGTGGGTGCCGAAAGGAGAACAATCAGCAGAGGGACTGCGTGTTAGGAGGCAGCTGAGCCTCCTGTATCCCTGCCAAAGCTCAGCCTTGAGGATGTCCTTCCACAGCAGCCCGGGGGGGTCTGGCAACACCGAGTGGCCTTGGGGTGCCGGCACAGCAGGGCTCTGCTCCTTGCATGGAAGAAAGACAGCAGCAGCTCTGTGCTCGGACCTATCCCCTCCTTGGGAAGCAGGATCCTATGGGTGTCACCACAGCACGCTCACCTGCTCCTGGGGGACATCCTGGGACCTGCGGGCAGAGAGCAGGGGGACACCGAGGGCTGATTCCCAGCTGGGATGCAGGGGACCCCGCGTAGCATCACTGAGTGCCCCATACCTCTGCTGTATTCTGGGCAGGATGTTGGACACGGCATCAGCTGGTGGCAGGGCCACGGCGTCACGGCAGACCTGCAAGGGGACATCAGTGCCAGCAGTCCGTGTCGGCTCCACTGAGCCGTGCAGCAAATGGGGGAGCGCTCACCACCTCCCCTGGGGGCTGTTCCCAACCTGGGCATCTGCAGCTGCCACCGGAGCAGAGCCCGGAGTCGTGTGCGGTGTTGGTGGCATCCCTGCTGTCACCACAACACAACGCAGCGCTGCTCTTAGCAACCCTGCCGGGCTCCCTCCTGCGGCAGCCCTGCCCCATTTCAGGGCAAAAGCGCTGCAGTTTGTCCCCAGAACCCAGCAGGCAGGGCTCGATGGCTGCAACACCCCCCAGAGCCACCCAGCCCCCCTCTGCCTTATCTCCCTCTCCCAGCACGCAGGCAATCTGGTGGCAGGTCCCAGGCGGCCCTTTGGTGCTGGCACCTCATTTCCATGCCTTGGATCTCCGTGCACTCCATTAACTTCTGAGGGTTGCGGCCCGCTCAGATCCGCAGGCAGCGATGTTGGGGTGGGCTGAAGTGGAGCTGAGATGCTGCTCACATCTCCAGCTGGAATTTGTGGGGTTTTCAACCCACGCTCTGCTCCCCATATCCCCACATGGCAGGGGACATCCAGCAAGGGACGTGTGTGTCCCATCTCCGCGTCCCCCCGGTGCTGGCAAACAAAGGGGCCGGTGTGGGTCGATGGAGACCCTCAGTGCCTCATCCCGGGGTATGAATTTTTCATCACAGAGCTGTAGGAAGCATGCAATTATCCTCTCCATCAATAATGCACGGGGACTGGAGACCCTTCCCCAACCTCTGAGCATCTCCTTCTGCCACCGCTCACATTCCCATTTGTTCACCCCGAAGCCTCCACCTATCCCAGCAGCAGCCAGCAATGGGGATGGGGCACGGGAGGAACAGGGCTGCCCGCTCCCACGTCCCACACTGGGACCTCAGGGAAGGGCAGAGTTAAGGGTATTTGCTCTCCTTTTCCCCTGTACATGCTTCCTACCAACGCATGCATACATCTCTCCTTCCTGCAGGGGTCTGGGATGAAAGGCTGCGCAGCCACATCTGAAAGCACGCAGGCTTTGAAACTCCTGCTGATTTTTATTTTATTTTATTTTTTTTCCTCCTTCTTTCCCCCATCATTTACAATCCTCTGAAGCTTTCCCTGCCCGCCGTGCCGTCCCGCACGCCTTTCATCCGCCCCGAAGAGACACAACCCCCCCCCCCCCACACACACACACACACCTCTTCCTTCCTCCCCCTGTCGGCTTAGGCCAAGTTTTGTGTTCTTTTCCCTCTTTTTGTTTTTTACATATTTACTTAACAAGTCGCTCAGAGATGCTTTGATGCCCCCAGTTTGCTGGCATCGATTCCTCCCTCGGCACTCACTCTCATCCCTGCGCTCCCTGTGGGCTGAGGATGCCTCTACTCATTTCACTGATGAGCCCAGAGCTCACAGAGCTGCAGATCTCCCCCCGTCCACCCCAATAAACACATCCCTGGACAAGCCCTAATCCAGACTCCACTGTTGTTCTGACGAGGGGATAAAGCACAGATTTGCTTATCGGAGAGAAATTGCTGCGGCGACTTAGGCAGATTAGAAAGAAAATTCCTCTGTTTTGCCTCTTTTTTGGGAAGCAAAGCTTCTGAAGCCATCAGGAGGGAATTTCTCCCATTCCCAGCACTTGCAGCCTGCCTCAGTTTCCCCACGTGGAAGAGCAGCACAGCGTGCAGCTTCAGGTGTGGACGAGGTGGTGAATCTGATTGAACCCAGGTTGAACTCGGGATCTGGGAGATGAGGGGGGGGTTGGGGATGGGGGCATCGCTATTCAATTTGGGAGTTAATTGGATCGGATCGAAGGCGTTCATCTGAGCTGAGCCCCATTTAGAGGGGATGTCAGCATTGCACTGCTGCCTGCTCCGGGCTGATAAGGCTGCAGGAAGCAATGATCCCACAGCGGGGTCCCCAACCCTCCCAGCCCCCGAATCATATTGAAATGTACGACCAGGAGGTGCACACGGAGCAGCGATGGACGGAGCCGCCCCACCACGGCACCGCTTTGGGGGGCTGCTGCGGAGCACGGGGGGCAGCCCGGGGTCCCATCGATCTTCCTGTTTGCTGACGTATCGACCCCGTGTGCTGACACAGCTCTGCGGGGAGCACCGATCCATCAACGCCCGCAGCTCGGAGCTGCTCTCTGGTGTTTCGTCTTCTCACCCCGCTCGCTGTCGGTCCCGGCGGGCGGCGGGATGAGTGGATCGGGGCGGGCACTAGGTGGCACTCGGGATGCGGGGCCGGCAGGGCCAGGGCAGCTCCGGCAGCTCCTGCAGCATCCTCACCCCCTTGTTACATCTTCACTCCTTGCAGCACCTTCGTCCCCTGCAGCATCGTCACTCCTTGCTCTATCCTCACCCTCCCTGCAGCACCTTCACACTCCTTGCAGCATCCTCACCCCTTGCAGCAGCTTCATTCCCCCGCAGCATCCTCACCCTTTATTACACCCTCACTCCTAGTTGCACCCTCACCCCTCTGCAGTACTCTCATCCCTCTGCAGCACTCTCATCCCTTGCAGCACCTTCACCCCTTGCAGCATCCTCACTCCTTGTTTCATCCTCCCAACACCTGCAGCACCTTCACCCCCCTTGCACCATTCTCATCCCTTGCAACACTTGCACCTCCCTGCAACATCCTCACTCCCTGTTGCATCCTCACCCCTTGCTGCATCTTCACCCCCCTGTAGCACCCTCAGTCCTTGCAGCATCCTTGTTCCTTGCAGCACACTCATCCTTTGCTGCATTCTCACCTCGTGCTGCATCCTCACCCCTTGTTGCACCCTCCTCTTGTACCATCCTCACCCCTTGCAGCATCTTCACCCTTGTTGCATCCTCGCCCCTTGCTGAACCCTCACTCCTTGCAGCACCCTCATTCCCCTGCAGAATACTCACCCCTTATTGTATCCTCACCCCTGTTGCATCCTCAGCCTTGTTGCACCCTCACATCCCTACAGCATCTTCACACCCCTGTAGCAACCTCACCCCCTGCTGCATCCTCACCTCTTGTTGCACCCTCACCCCTTGCAGCACCTTCACCCCCCTGCAGCACCCTCATGCCTTGCAGCACCCTCACCCCTTGCACTATCCTCACCCCTTGCTGCACCCTCATTCCCCTGCAGCATCTTCACCCCCTGCTGCATCTTCACTCCTTGTTGCACCCTCACCCCTTGCAGCACCTTCACCCCCCTGCTGCACCCTCATGCCTTGCAGCATCCTCACCCCTTGCAACATCCTCATCCTTCGAAGCACCCTCATCC